TGAATCCTGAGAATTAAAAAAATCTTTTGAAAGAAATTTCTTTTTAATGACTGTATACGATTTGAGTTTGATTTAGTCAAAATTTTAAGACGAATACAAGATACTGAGTGTGAAACAGAGGAAAAAAAAAAGATTCTCCGACACAAGTGAGGTAGGGGGGCCTATTAAACCCTTACTTATTACGAATGAGTTCACTAGGTATCTGAACCCTTCTTCTTAGATCGGCGGCGACACTAGGTATCTGAAACATTCTACTTAGATCAGCGGCGTCACTAGGTATCTGAAACATTCTGCTTAGATTGGCGGCGTCACTAGGTATCTGAAATCGATCGGCGACAACAATGATAGAAAATGAATTCTATATATAAATAATGAGATATAGAAATCAAGTGCGATGAACTGTAGACATCTGTCTTTGCTACCTTCTGCTTAGATCGGCATCGACAATGATAGAAAAGGAGATCTATAAATAATGAGATATAGGAAGTCAGGTGCGACGAACAGTAGACATCTGATTTAGCTACCTTCTGCTTAGATCGGCAATGGCAATGATAGAACAGGAGATCTACAAACAATGGGGTATAGAAGTCAGGTAGGATGAACACTAGACATCTGATTTAGCTGCCTTCTGCTTAGATTGGCGGCAACATTGAAAGAAAAGAAGATCGAACAGTAGACATCTCATTTAGCTACATTTTGTTTAGATCGGCGACTTGTAGTGAAAAAAAAAGAGATCTATAAATGATGAGATATAAAAGTCAGGTGTGACGAACAATAGACATCTAATTTAGCTACATTCCGCTTAGACCGGCAATAACAACGAAAGAAAAAAAGATCTTTAAATAATGAGATATAAAATCAGGTGCAACAAACAGCTCAATCAGAGCGATAGCGGTCAACCAAGGTGGATTTTCTAACAATGTGGTTGGTAAGTTGCCTGTCAGAGCTGTACTTCCATATGAGGATTGGCAAAACTCTTCAGAAGTTTAAGAATATGAAGAGAAAGACCACGTGGTAATTCAATGAAAATATTCTAAAAGTGCAATTTTTCTTCACGAGCTTTTGGATATGCACCACAACAATCTTTCTGGGACTCTCTCAACGGCTTTTGGAATCATAAGTGAGGTTAGAAGCCTCAACTTGCATGGAAATGAACTAGAGGGGAAAATCCCTCGATCTTTGGCCAATTGTGAAGCGTTGCATGTTCTTGATTTAGGTGATAATCACCTAAACGACACATTCCCCATGTGGTTGGGAACTCTGCCATATCTGCAAGTTTTAAGCCTAAGATCAAACAAGTTGCATGGATCTATTAGAACTTCAAGGATAGAAAACATGTTTCCCCAGCTTCGCATCATCGATCTCTCTTACAATGCCTTCTCGGGAAACTTACCTACAAGTCTGTTTCAACATCTGAAAGCCATGAGGACAATTGACCAATCATTGAAGGCACCAAGATCATCTTACATAGAATCGTATTACCAAGATTCTATTACAATTGCAACCAAGGGAATGGATCATGAAATTGTGAGAATCTTGTATTTGTACACTGCTCTTGATCTTTCAAGTAATAAATTTAGAGGAAAAATTCCAAGTATTATTGGGGATCTCATTGCACTTCATGTGTTGAGTTTATCTCATAATGGATTGCAAGGTCGGATACCATCATCACTCGGAAATTTATCTTCACTTGAATCATTGGATCTATCGGTTAACCAACTTTCGGGTAAGATACCACAACAACTGGCTTCTCTTACATCTCTTGCATTCTTAAATCTCTCCCACAATCATCTACAAGGATGCATCCCTCAAGGACCTCAGTTTCATACATTCGAGAATAATTCATATGAAGGTAATGATGGATTACGTGGATTCCCTATTTCAAAAGGTTGTGCCCATGATCAGGTGTCAGAGACAAACTATACCGAATCTGCTCTAGATCACGATCAAGAAAGCAATTCAGAATTTCTCAATGATTTTTGGAAAGCTGCTCTGATGGGATACAGAAGTGGACTATGTATTGGATTATCCATAATATATATCATGATTTCAATTGGAAATCTGAAATGGTTTGCAAGAATCATTGAAGAGATGGAACAAAGGATCATTACGCGGAGGAGAAAGAAGCAGCGAGGTCAAAGGCATTACAAAAGAAGAAATAATCGCTTCTAGACAATTGTTACCAATCAAGAAGGATTTGATTTCAGAACTTTAGGTATTGATCAAGCTAAGCTCTATAATAATCTTTTTAGTTTATTTTAACTACTAATATATTAGCTTTCGTATTTATTCGTTGTAACAACATCTGATCGATGCTCTATGCAAAGCATATTGAAAATGAGCTGAAGATTTTGAATAGGATTAGCCTTAGTTATATATATTGTTAATGGATGGTTAAACATGTGTTTGTAGTGAAAATTAAGTAATTGATGTGTTACAAATTAAAACAAGAAAATATTACTAATTAAAACCTGAATTCTCTTCAATATTAATCATGGCCCTATTAATGTGGATATCAAAAACCAAATGAGAAATCATGAAAAAAGCCACGTGTTCATTGTTCTAAATTTCGTGTCCATTCAGGTCTGTTAACTAAAAAGGGTCAATATTTTGTTAGATGGCGAGGGTATATATGCAACAGTTTTTTAACAATGGTATATCGTCTCTAAATCGTAAAGTTGAGGGTTACTATATATGCCCCTTTTCCTTTGAGAAGAAAAAAAACATGACACACTGATATTTGACTTAGTCGTGTCTAATTTTTGAAAATGACACTTCTCTACTTTTTTTTTTGTCTGCTTAATTATTCTTTCTTTGAAATTTCCATTGCAAGACTTATGCATCGACTTTCCCTCTTTGTTGCTATGAGTTTACTATACGTCAAGGTGGAACTTGGAATTAGTTACACTTTGGAATAAAATTATTGGGAAAATGCATAAGTACCCCCTCAGCCTTTGTCCAAAATCCCAGAGACACACCTAACTTTTATTAAGGTCCTATTACCCTCCCAAACTTATTTTATATATAACTTTCTACCCCTTTTCGGCCTACGTGGCACTATCTTGTGCGCCCAGCGCGTGTTGACAAAATTTTCAAGGATAGTGCCACGTAGGCCGAAAAAGGGTAGAAAATTATATATAAAATAATTCGGGGGGGGGGGGTAATAGGACCTTAGTAAATGTTAGGTGTCTCAGAGATTTTGGGCATAGACTAGGGGATACTTATGCATTTTCCCTAAAATTATTAGCAGTGACTAAATCAAGTTTATTAATGAGTTGAAACCATGTTTCGAAATATGTGAATTTTAATTTGAAAATATAGGCTATCGATATCTAAAATTTAATGAAAATAGATGTATTAAAGTTCATATTATTAGCAGTGAGGAACAGTAAATTTGACATTTTGTAAACTTGGAATTGATGATGATTTGAAATGAAGGCAGCAGTCCTTGCTTGAGTTTCCCCACTTTCCTCTTTCTTTTGATAATAAAATTCGTAAGTAATTTATTTTCATATGAAAATTCAAAGCGAAAGTAATTTGTGCGTTAAGTAGCTTTCGTTTGAAATTTCCACAACAAGACTCACTGCAATTACTCGGAAATTCAAAAAACTGCATTAATACTTTTAGGTGCAAGAAAAAAGATATTTAGAGGGACACTTGGTGCAAAAACTTGGTGTTATTCCCCCCTTTAATAGGCCTTACGCGGCGAAAATGCAAACCCTAATGTGAATATAAAAAACCGAATGAAAAGCAAAAAAAAAAAAATAATAATACAAAAAGTCACGTCTCATTCTAAATATCAGGTCCCTAATACTCCCTCTATCCCATTTTATATGATGTACTTTGATTTGGCACAAACTTTAAGAAAAATGGAAAGACTCTATTATGTTCCGAAAATACCCTTATTAATAAGTCTAAATTGTTAAATAAAAAAAAATACTACATCTGACATTGAATAGAAAAGTTTATGACTTTTCTCTCTCTTATAAGTTAATGTCACATCAATCATTAATGTAAATCCAAAAGAGTCAAATATATTTATTTCTCTCTCTTTTTTCTACTGCATTCTCCATTCCCTCTCCCTTAGTCTTTCAATGAAGAAGATATATTCCAAAATGATTGATTTTTTGTCATTGCAGGTAAAAGTAGTTTTTTTTTTCATAATTTTAATTGTAGTTTCAAAAAATTGATAACATAAAAAAAAACGTGGGAAAAGATCAAAATTTTCAGTTTCTAGCGCCAATTTTTTTGCCAAATTTTAAAATACTAGCTAATGGACTCCATATATAAGTAGAGATACTTTATCTTTAATTTTTCAGTTCTTCCTTTTACATTTTTTCCAATTAGTGATCTTAAAATGAGTGTTGAATTTTCAGAAGACCCAATTACCATAAAAAGGCGATTGAATCTGAACGAGCGTCGAGCAATTGCAAAGTGGCTTTTGAAAGAAAGTAAGAATGGAAAACTTAAACATGGTTCTGTAAAGGAAGCACGTATTATGTTCAACACATCAAGAAGTACCATTGATCGTATTTGGAGACAAGCTAGATTATGTGTTGCTAATGGTGACATGGTAAATGTTTCTACTAATCTTGCAGGCAGAGTTGAGAGAAAACGCATACAAGTTGATATCAACTTATTCAACGAAATTCCACTATGTCGTCGAACAAATATTTGATCTCTTTCTTTTGCAATAAATATGGCAAAATCAACAATTTTTCGACGTGTGAAAGAAGGTGCAATTAGGCCACACACCAACGCCATCAAACCGCACTTGACCGAAGAAAACAAAAAAGCGAGACTTCGATTTTGCCTCTCAATGATTGATCAGAGTACACTCAAATCCCATGTTTATAGACATGTTTAATTATGTCCATATCGATGAAAAATGATTTTACTTATCGAAAAATTTTGAAAGGTATTATCTTCTTCCCGAAGAAGAAGAGTCTAATCCGTATCGTTCTTGCAAAAGTAAAACTTTTATCACAAAAGTTATGTTTATGGCAGTTGTTGCACGTCCTAGATTTGACGCTAATGGAGTTGAGTTATTTTTGGGAAAAATAGGAATTTTTCCATTTGTAGTTAAGGAACCAGCCAAACGGAATAGCAAAAATCGAACAACAGGAACTATTGAAACAAAACCAATTTTATCGGTGACTAAAGATATCACAAGAGCTTGTTTGATAGAGAAAGTTCTTCCAGCCATTCGATCAAAATGGCCAGCTTCAACGTCAAGGTCACCCATTTTCATCCAACAAGATAATGCAAGACCACATATTGGTGTTAATGATTTGGAATTCATGGGCGCCGCTCAACGGGATGGATTTGATATTAAGTTATGCTTTCAACCCCCTAATAGTCTTGATCTTAATGTTTTGGACCTTGGATTTTTTAGAGCAATTCAATCTCTTCAATATCAAAATGCTCCTTCAAATGTTGATGCATTAGTGGAGGTTGTTGAAAAATCCTTCAATGAAATGAAAGTAGAACGACTCAATCATGTATTTTTGACTTTGCAATGCTGTATGAATGAGGTGATGAAAGATAGCGGTGGCAATAACTACAAAGTGCCTCATATGAACAAAGAAAGACTCGAAAGAGAAAATGATCTCCCACTTCAAGTTCGTTGCTATGTTGATGTTGTTAATCAAGCTTTAACTCTACTTCAACAGTGATGGGATTACAAGTATTAAAACAACTTGTGTTTTTGTACATTTTGATGTTTATATTAGAACTTTGCAAATTTAATTTAATTTTTGGATAGTTTAATGTTTATGTTAAAATCATGCAAAGTGTAATTTACTTTTGGAATGGTTTAAAGTTTTTGTTGGGACATTGTAAATTTAACATGTTGAAATAAAATTTTCATTTTGGTAAATGTAAGAAAATTTTACTTTTTGAAGTTTATATTTGAAAATTTTCATTTTATTTTTATTGTAAATCTGAACTAAAGAAAAAAGAAGAAATATTCATCAAATATTTTTTAAGTGAGGACAACTTTTGATTGTACATTCTTTAATTTTTAAAAATAAAAATAAAATTACATTAACGTACTTCACAATTCTATCATTAGTGTAAAAGAAAGAAAGAATATGAAGTGGTGAAAAGAAAGAAAAGGTTATGACAAAGTATTGAAAAAAATGTTTAAAGTACTGTTGACTGTCAGAAAAAGAGAAAAGTATTTGTACTTTACTGCATTTCAATAACTTTTTCTTTAAATTAAAAGAGTGCAACTATTGAAATGATGAGTTTCAAGAAGGGTAAAATAGGGATAATGTCGTTAAATATTTACCAAATAAGGAAATGTGTCATTCTTTTTGGGACTGACCAAAAAGGAAAGTGAGTCATATAAATTGGGACAGGGGGAGTAATAATTATCACGTCTCATTGGAAAATGTTGTTTCTCTACTTTTTTGGATACTTAAATATGCTTTCTTTGAAATTTCCACAGCAAAACTTGTGCATTGACTTGAGAATAACAAACATTAATTTCCCAGTTTCTTTTCAAATTTACAATTGGTGAAGGTGGAATTTGGAAATAATTACAGCGTGGAGTAGCTTTCATTGAAATTTCCACGACAAGACTTGTTCAAGGACTTTTAAAACAATAATTTTTTTAAGTTCCACAAGTAGAATTCCACTCATTGTGTCCTCCACACACTTCATTGTCACTCCACTCTCACCTTCTATAGTATTTGTCTTGATTATACACAAATGATTTAATGTAACACATTTTGTTTATGTGCCAAACACAAGAAAATAAGTAAGAAATTCACTTATTTTCCTAGAAAATATATTTTTTTCCTACCGAACACACCTTGAATTGGGGGAATCTCAGTTGACATTTGGTTGACTATCTTTTATTAATTAAAGAAAAAAAAATAAGAAACACAATAACACAAACTTGACTTGTGTTGAACAATATAAAATCCTATGAACCCTCCACAATTAGTTCATTGAAACCCAAAATAATAAACTCAAAATATGATGATGGTTCCCAAAAAAATATTCTCTTTACTTCAGTTTTTTACTCTTTTATCTCTCTTTACAGTTACTTTTGCTTCCACTGGGGAAACAACTTCCCTCCTGAAATGGAAAGCAACTTTCAAGAACCAGAATAACTCCTTATTGGCTTCATGGAGACCAAGCTCTAACGCATGCCGGGACTGGTATGGAGTTATATGCTTTAACGGTAGGATAAACAGGTTGAATATTGCAAATTCTAGTATCATTGGTACCCTCTATGCTTTTCTGTTTTCATCTCTCCCTTTCCTTGAATATGTTGATCTTAGCATGAACAATATCTCCGGAACCATTCCACCTGAGCTTGGTAATCTCACTAATCTTGTCTATCTTGACTTGTCCATCAATCAGATTTCAGGCACAATCCCACCACAAATCGGCTCACTATCCAAGCTTGAGACCCTCCACATCTTTGATAACCATTTAAATGGTTCCATTCCTAAAGAAATAGGTTACCTAAGGTCTCTTACTGAACTAGATTTGAGTTCTAACTCTCTTAGTGGTTCTATTCCTACTTCATTGGGGAATTTGAGCAGGTTGACCTATTTGCATCTTTATGAGAATCAGCTTTCTGGCTCTATTCCGGAAGAAATAGGAAATCTTGTCAATCTTGTTCAGGTTTTTCTTGATACAAACCAATTAACAGGTCATATTCCTGCAGAAATAGGAAAACTTGTCAATCTTGTTGAAGTTTATCTTCATGAAAATCAATTAACAGGTCATATTCCGGCAGAAATAGGGAAGATGAAGTCACTTCAGGAATTAATCTTATCACGTAACAATCTTTCTGATCTAATTCCAAAAACTATAGGCGACTTAACAGAGCTCAAACTTCTGTACCTTTATAGCAATCAACCCTTTGGCCCAATTCCTAGTGAGTTAGGGAACCTGAAAAACCTCAATACTCTGTTATTATCCAATAATGAACTCAGTGGTTCAATTCCGTCATCCTTTGGTAATTTGAGAAACTTGCAAGTTCTGTCTCTCAATGACAACAATCTGATTGAGGAAATTCCTTCATCTATTTGCAATTTGACATCACTGGCAACCCTGTATTTGTCAAGAAACAACTTGAAAGGAAATATTATGAAATGCTTGGGTAATATCAGTGCCCTCCAGTATGTGATGATGTCACATAATAATCTCAGTGGAGAGCTCCATCCGTCTATTTGCAATTTAACATCGCTGCAAATTCTAGATTTGGGTAGAAACAATCTAAAGGGAGCAATTCCGCAATGTTTTGGCAACATGAGTGGTCATCTTGAGGTTCTGGATATGCAACACAACAATCTTTCTGGGACTCTTCCAATTGACTTTTAGAGCTGGAACACTTAGAAGCTTCAACTTGCATGGCAATAAACTAAAGGAAAAAATTCCCAAATCTTTGGCCAATTGCAAAGAGATGCAAGTTCTTGATTTAGGAGATAATCATCTCAACGACACATTCCCGATGTGGTTGGGAACTCTTCCTGAGTTGAGAATTTTAAGCTTGAGATCGAACAAGTTGCATGGACCCCTTAGAACCTTAGGAAGTGAAAATATGTTTCTTGAGCTTCAAATCTTAGATCTCTCTTGCAATGCTTTCTCTGAAAACTTACCGACAAGATTGTTTCGACATCTGAAAGCCATGAGGACAACTGATCAATCAATGAAGGCATTAAGTTTTGAATTTCATCCATATTACCTAGACTCGGTAGATGTCGTAACAAAGGGATTGGAGCTTGAAGTTGTGAGAATCTTGTCTTTGTACAACGTTATCGATCTTTCAAACAACAAATTTGAAGGACAAATTCCTTGTGTTCTGGGAGATCTCATTGCACTCCGGGTTTTGAATCTGTCTCATAATAGATTTCAAGGTCATATACCACCAACACTTGGAAATTTATCTTTGGTTGAATCGTTGGACCTTTCATTTGCCCAGCTCTCGGGAGAGATACCAGAACAAATTGCTTCTCTTACAGCTCTTGAATTTTTAAATCTTTCCCACAATAATCTTGAAGGATGCATCCCTAGAGGACCTCAATTTGCCACATTTCAGAACAATTCATACAAAGATAATGATGGATTACGTGGATTCCCACTTTCGAAAGATTGTGGTAACTATGATGGGGTATTAGAGACAAATGATACCATAGCTGTGCTAGACGATCAAGAAAGCAATTCTGGATTTCCAAATGATTTTTGGAAAGCTGCTCTTATGGGCTATGGAAGTGGACTATGTATTGGATTATCCATAGTATATTGCATGTTCTCAACTGGAAAGTCGAGATGGCTTGCAAGAACCATTGAGAAGCTGGAACACAAAATTATTAAACTAAGGAGAAAGAAGCAACGGTGTCAAAGGAATTATAGAAGATGAAGTAATCGCTTCTGGACAAGTTACCAACGGAACAAGATTTGATTCAAGTTAATATCTATGCTGGTCTGTTAATTTATTGCGAGTATTTGGTATTCATACTAAGCATGTTTGTATTTTCATTAAGTAGAAGCTTTTAAAAAGGATTAGACTTTGTTGATGTTTTAAGCTAGTAAAAGTTTGACTATGTATACCGTGCGACAGAGGAGTAATTATATGAATAAAATTATAAATCTTTACCGTAATTAGTTGAATCTGTCATTTCAGGGTCTAACTACAATCGATGATCTGATTATTTAATAATTGGATGTTTTAGCAAAAGCACCGCTCTTTTAGAATTCAAGAGAACACTTACTGTAGATCCCTCATTACTTTGGTATACTTTAAACTATTATCCGAGTTCATGGAATATGAGCAGAGATTGTTGTTCATGGAGTGGAGTCAAATGCGATGAGATGACTGGCCTCAGTTGCAGCGGTCTTGTAGGAAAGATTGATTCCAATAACAGCCTTTTCCAACTCACCCATCTCCAAAGGCTTGATCTTTCTAATAATGACTTCTCTAATTCTCACATCTCGCCTCAATTTGGCAGGTTCTCGAGCTTGACACATCTTGATCTTTATAACTCCTATTTCTCAGGTCAAGTTCCTTCTGAAACGTCTCATCTTTTATCTGAAAAAAAAAGATCATATGGAAATAATTCTCTTTGATTTTCTTTCTTAGAACCTATAATTATTCTTACTCTGCATCCGCCACTGAACACAGGTCGTGGGTAAACATTTCTTTCCGAATTCGAACAGTCTCTTGATTGGAAACAAAATATATTTAACTCAAAAGTGCTTCTGTTGACTGAAATAATCTGACAAAAAAAACAATTTGTTTTTCTTTAGACAATTACAAAAGAATAAAACTTATTTGAAAGTAATGTTTTCCTACTTATTTGGTTTCTTATGCAAGACATTAGAAACAACAAAAACTTCCAACAAAATAGTCTTTTTCTAGACTTAAAATATTTTCATCAACATATAAGCTTTGAATTGATTTCCATGAAGGAACCAGTCCTTGTTTGGCACTAATTCTAAATATGATATATATTCAGCTCTCACAAAAGACAATTTATTTTCTTTAGACTAATACAAAACATGGCCGATTTGAAAGTAATGTTGTCCTACTTATTTGTCTTCTTATACTTGACTAGACTAATAATGCGGCCAATTCAAAACAAGATTTTTACTAAGGGGATTCAAAATATCATATATATACGTTAAAAAGAATACCTACCTAGGCATTTCAATC